CAAACAGGTTTACGAAGGGAGTACTAATAATTAATCAACCATTTTGTAAGTACTATAAAAATTTTACTACATAAATATTTAAGTTATAAATTTTGTACTAGTAAATTGGATGAATTATGATAAAATTTCATGCTCGAACCTATAAAATTCGAATTCTAAAATTAGAACCGAACAACTTTTAACATATATAAAAATTAGAGAAATATAACTCGTATATATTGATAGTATAATTTATTTTTTATATAGTCAATTTTTAAAATATGTAAAATATGGTAAGTATTACTTCTATATTTTTGGGCAAGTTATACGTTTGGTTTATCGATCAAAAGTAATTATGTTTGCTAGCCAAATATACAAGAAAAGGTACATTGATTATGTATATTATATAGTAATATATTAAATATATATATTTCGCCGGCTATTATTTTTAAAAGTGATTATACTGTGTAATTTTCCATATTTTTTAATCAAGTAACAAATCATATTCTGAGACTATGAGGGTGTTTGGCTAAGCTTATAAGCTGGTCAAACTGGCTTATAAGCACTTTTTGGCTTATCTACGCGTTTGGTAAAATTAAAAGTGCTTATAAGCCAAAAATAAGCCAAAAGCCATAAGTTGGTCTCCCCCAACTTATCAAATTTCAGCTTATAAGCACTTTAGGTTTGACCAAAATATTTACTATTCTATCCCTAAAATACTTCTTTTTAAAACAGAACTCTTTGTATACCCAATTTTTTAGCTGCTTATTATTAATTTCAGCACTTTTATCCAAACACGTAACTGCTTATTTTTTAAATCAGCTTCAGCACTTAAAAGTGCTTTTTAGCACCTATGCTTATCAGGTACTTTAAATCAGCTAGCCAAACGAGCTCTATATGACATCATTAGTGGATACAGAGTATATATAATGCATGGCTAACCGAAAATTTTCTATATTTCATTTCCACAACCGACATATCAACTTCCCCTATTGATTACGCTTGTCCACGTTATATTTCTCTTATATGTTTAACTTCTCTTTATCATAAATTATGACGCTTCCACCTAGATTTCTGCTCAGCACTAACTCTTTCTCAACTCCACAGCCGCCGGTCAAATCCTCCGCGGCGGAGCCGCCGTCGTTTGCATCAGTGGAGCCCGACTTCGTCATAATCATAGCTGCCCTACTCTGTGCATTCATCTGCATCATAGGACTCATCTCGGTAGTTCGGTGCGCTTGGCTCCGACGAGTCGGTGAAGGTACCGGAGGTCAGTCATCATCGGCGGCGAACAGAGGGTTGAAGAAAAAAGTGTTACAGTCGCTGCCTAAGTTCACTTACGACAGTTCTTCTTCAACCACCGGCGCCGCGGCGGAGTGCGCCATATGTCTGGCGGAATACAGGGAAGGAAACGAGATTAGGGTTCTGCCTCAGTGTGGCCATGGCTTTCATGTTCAGTGTATTGACACGTGGCTTGGTTCACACTCTTCTTGCCCATCGTGCCGTCAGATTCTTGTAGTTGGTCGGTGCCGGAAGTGCGGCGAGTTCCCTGCAGCTTCCGGCACCTCCAACGTTGCTCAAATTCCTGGGCGGAGCTACCTTGCATAAAGGTACAATCCAATTTCGTTGTCAAAAAATTATACTACTGTACATTATGCTATGGCCAATTTAAATAAGGTAAAAATAACTTTTGTATATAAATTAAAATAATTAGAATTCATAAACTAAAAAATGTCTATTTTTATTGTAAAACGGTTATGGGTTTTTGTCAGGGTTGAACATGGTCCCCAGTTGAGCTGGTGAAGTTTAGTGGTTTTGCTTTGTCGAGAAGCTAAAGAAGAGAAGACGATAAATATGAAGCTTCGTGCTTTTGTTATGGAAAAGAAGAAGGTGACAAAAGGGGAATGATATATATGCTGCTGAGTTGTTGATATTTTAGAAGGTTTCTAGACACTGTAAATCTTTTTTATCTTTTCGACTTATCTTCTTTTTTACCCAGTTATCTGATCATATAATATGTTATAAACAGTTTTTACTCTCCGCGTATATATGGAATAATATACAATTATACATATAACTTCATGTATGTGCATATATTATATGGAGTCCTAAATATGAAGTCGTTATTATAGGGAACGTTTTAAGGGATTATTCATATTGGTCGGATTATGTACTAAAACTTAAATTCTTTAAAAAATGTGCAATCAAAAGGTCGTAATTTGTGGAGGAAATTGACGAGAAGTACAAGTGTGGAGGACGATGTGGGAGGCCTTCGTTTTGGTTAGTTTTTGCTACAGTTGATTTAGTTGGTTATAAAATTAAGGGTGTTCCTATTAAGCACTTATACTATCCGAAACTTAAGGGTGTTGATTTAGTTGGTTAGTTGATTTAGACACATAAACTTAAGGGTGTTCCTATTAAGCACTTATACTATCCGAAACTTATTCCAATTAAGCATTTCTTTGACAAAGCCAAATTTAAAAAGTTTGTGCAATGCACTTGCTGCTGACGTGGCAAATAATGAATAAAAAAAGGACATATATTATTTTGAGTAAAAAAAAGGAAAAAACCTAAAAACACTACTTAACTCGGCATCTTCACTATATGTTCATGTGTGTTCTTCACTATTTTCATGTGTGTTCTTGTTCCAAAAACGATTTTAATCCAAATTTTTAAGAGAAACTCCTCCAAATTTGTTATAATTTCAGCTAAAGATTTCCCACGACGACCCGAAGACAACCCCAATATTAATCTCCCAAACTTTCATCAAATCAAGTAACTCATTTTAAACCTTCAAGCTTTTTAAAGACCCCACTAATGGTGTTTCAATTTGAAATGAAGAACTCGGACTCATTTCAGTTTTACTCTCTCCTTCTTCCTCTGCTTTGCTCTGTTTCTTTTTCGATCCCATAAAAATGACGGTTCCTATATTTTGGAGAAAACAATACGTGCACAATTATTTTTTCTATAAAAATTAAGCCTGCCAAACGCCACCTAATAAGAATAGTAGTGCTTCTTAGTTGTATAATTGTCACGACCCGGATTTTCCACACTCGGGAGTCGTGATGGCACCTACTCGTAGAAGTTAGGCAATCCGCGAAATATAGAAATCACTAACTCTTTCATTTTAACACTTTTTAACAATCTAAATTAACAAGTAATCAACATTTAAATATTAACGACGAACAGAACAAGCGGAAGACTTAAACAGATAAAGATAACCAAAGCCAATACTACAATGCCAATATACTCCTCTACCCGGAATCTGGTGTCACAATATCACGGACGGAATATGATTACTACACCCAGCGTCTGAAAGAAATACAATCTGTCTCGAAATCAAATGAAAACAGAGTACGTAATAAGATAGAAGAGAACGTCGGGCCTGCGGACATATGTAGGACTACCTCGGGATCTCTAGCTGGACTGAAGGCAGCCTCCCCAAGTGCTACTGCCTAAAAGCTGCTCTGGGATCTACACATAGTGCAGAGTGTAGCATCAGCACAACCGACCCCATGTGCTGGTAAGTGTCTGGCCTAACCCCGGCGAAGTAGTGACGAGGCTAGGACCAGACTCTAGATAAACCTGTGCAGTTATATAATATACAGCGGAAAATAAAACAAGAATGAACAATTATAGGTGGGAGGAGGTGCATGCTGCGCGGGAAAAATATCAAATCCAGCAGTAATTTAAGAAAAATATAAGAGAACAATTCAAGATCTACAACAAACAATAATAACATTGTTGCGGCGTGCAACCCGATCCATTTATATCACTGTTGCGGCGTGCAACCCGATCCAACTGTATCATTGTTGCGGCGTGCAACCCGATCCATTTATATCACTGTTGCGGCGTGCAACCCGATTAATTTATATCACCGTTGCGGCGTACAACCCGATCTATTTATATCATTGTTGTGGCGTGCAACTCGATCCATTTATATCACTGTTGCGGCGTGCAACCCGATCCATTTATATCATTGTTGCGGCGTGCAACCCGATCCATTTATATTATTGTTGCGGCGTGCAACCCGATCCAAATATACAGTCGACAACAATCATAACAAGAGTCCCGGCAAGGGATCAATAAAGAACTACACTATCCCGGCAAGGGAAACGACAGTATAAGTAAATACGTCCCGGCAAGGGAGAAACAGCTATAACCAATCTCATTCTAACATCTAAATACCTCAGCTAATACCAATTCTCAATCATAAGTAATTTCCACGAGAACAGTCTAAATCCTTGCTCAATACCGAGAATCATCAATTTAAGCATCTGTAGTATTATTTAAGAACACAATAATTCACAATTTAAGACTCACGGTCATGCTCGACACCAACGTATAGATACTCGTCGCCATGCATATACGTCGTACTCAACAAGAAGCAAATAACAAATAGGACACAACTCTTAATCCCTCAAGCTAAGGTTAGACCGAACACTTACCTCGAACTTCCACGACCAACTCAAGCCTCAAACACCGCTTTTCCTTTTGAATTTGGCTCCAAATCAATTGTATCTAGACATAATCGACTTAATAACATCAATAAATGCTAAACAATCCAATTCCAATACTTAATTATAGCTTTCCCATCATTCTTCCCAAAACATCAAAAATTGGCCCCGGGCCCGCTTGGTCGAAACACGAGGTTCGGACCAAAATCCGATCACCCATTCACCCACGAGCCCGAATATATAATTAGTTCCAAAATTCGACCCCAAAACGAGGTCTAAATCCCAAATATATAAAAAGCCCTAACTCTACCCAAATCCCTAATTTTCTACCCTTAAGAACATGATTTAAGCCTAGAAATCTAGTGGGTGTTGATAAAAATGGAAGAAAACAAGTCAAAGATTACGTACCCAAGAGGTTATGGTGATGAAGTTCTTCAAAATTCGCCCAAGAGGTGTGGAGAAGAAGAAGTTTGTGAAAAATGGGTTAAATCCCGTAATGTATTCTGTTTCTGGACTTTAAAAATAACTGGGCGGATTTGGTCATCGCATTCGCGATGAGTTAGGTCTGACAGACCTTCGCGTTCGCGGAAGATGGCTCGCGTTCGCGGAGAAGTAACTCCTCTAGCCTTCGCGTTCGCGTAGGTATAATTTTCCCTTCCCCCCCCCCCCCCGACCAGGCCACAAGCCTTCGCGTTCGTGTTACGAGGCCCGCGTTCGCGAATGGTAGACCCCCCAAAGCTTCGCGTTCGCGACCTAGGTCTCGCGTTCGCGTAGAAGGAATTTTCCTTCAGCACAATTAACTCATCGCGTTCGCGAGGGTCCTCCCGCGAACGCGGAGAAGAAAATACCAAAATACCAGCAACTGAAAACCTGCAACTTTTTAAGAGTTTAAAACCTTCCGAAACACACCCGAGCCCTCGGGGCTCCAAACCCAACATACTTACTAACTCAAAAACATCATATGAACTTATCCGTGTGATCAAATCGCCAAATTAACCCCATAAACAACGAATTAAACCTCAAAATCAATGAAATATTTCAAAACTTCTTAAAACATCAAATTTTGCATATGAGGTCCGAATCCCGTCAAACGGATTCCGTTTCTTACCAAACTTCACAGAATTATCTTAAATCACATATAGGACCTGTACCGGGCGCCGGAACCAAAATACGGGCCCGATACCAACATGTTCTAATCCAAATTCATTTCCAAATCCTTTAAACAATTTCAGAAAACAATTTTTTTTTTAAAATTCATTTCTCGGGCTTGGGACCTCGGAATTCGATTCCGGGCATACGCCCAAGTCCCATATTTTCCTACGGACCCTCTAGGGCCGTCCGATCACGGATCCGGGTCCGTTTACCCAAAATGTTGACCGAAGTCAACTTAAATACATTTTTAAGCCAAAATTTCAATATTTTCACAGATTTTTCACATAATAGCTTTCCGGCTACACGCCCGGACTGTGCACGCAAATCGAGGTGAAGCTAAAAGAGGTTTTTCAGGCCTCGGACATAGAATTAATTTTAAAAACAAGTGACGACCTTTTGGATCATCATATCCTCCACCTCTAAAACAACCGTGCGTCCTCGAACGGACATAAGAAGGAAGTACGTGAGTCGGGGAAAAGATGGGGATAACTGCTCCGCATATCGGACTCGGACTCCCAGGTCGATGCCTCAGCAGGCTGACCTCTCCACTGAACACGAACAGAAGGAAAACTTTTCGACCTCAACTGACGAACCTGCCGGTCTAGAATAGCTACCGGCTCCTCCTCGATCAAGGATCTCAAACGGGCCAATGAACCAAGGGCTAAGCTTGCCCTTCTTCCCAAATCTCATCACGCCCTTCATAGGCGACACTCGAAGCAATACCCGCTCACCGACCATGAAAGCTAGATCTCGAACCTTGCGGTCGACATAACTCTTTTGCCTGGACTGAGCTGTACGAAGCCTATCCTGAATGATCCTGACCTTGTCCAAGGCATCCTGAACCAAATCCGTACCCAACAACCGAGCCTCCCCCGGCTCAAACCACCCAACCGGAGACCGACACCGCCTACCATATAAAGCCTCATAAGGAGCCATATGAATACTCGACTGGTAGCTGTTGTTGTAGGCAACTCTGCTAAAGGCAAAAACTGATCCCACGAGCCTCCAAAGTCAATGACACAAGCTCGGAGCATATCCTCCAAAATCTAAATAGTCCGCTCGGACTGCCCGTCCGTCTGAGGATGAAATGTTGTGCTCAACTCAACCCGTGTGCCCAACTCTCGCTGAACCGCTCTCCAGAAATGTGAGCTAAACTGCGTACCTCGGTCAGAAATAATAGACACGGGCACACCATGAAGGCGAACAATCTCCCGGATATAGATCTCAGCTAACCTCTCGGAAGAATAGGAAACTGCCATAGGAATGAAATGCGCTGACTTGGTCAGCCTATCAACAATAACCCACACTGCATCGAACTTCCTCTGAGTCCGTGGGAGTCCAACAACGAAGTCCATAATGATCCGCTCCCACTTCCACTCAGGAATCTCAATCTTCTGGAACAAACCACCAGGCCTCTGATGCTCATACTTAACCTGCTGGCGATTCATGCACCGAGCCACATATGTAA